ATTGGTGCCTTAAGAGAACTATGATTTAAAGTGATTCTAAAGGATTAGGCTCTCTCCAGTCTCTCCCTCCTCACAGGACAGATTGATAGCAGCAGGAGCCATTGGTTCCTGCTGCTGTCAGTCAAATCCTGTGATGAGAGAGAAGGGGGTGGGTGAGCCCTGCGCTGCTTGTGTATAAAGATGCAGACAGCGTGGCTCTGGATCGAGCTTGCACAAGTGCCACCTATTGGCTCCTGCTGCTGTTAATCAAATCCTGTGACGAGGGTGTGTGTGTGTGGGAGGGGGGAAGGGGTGGGCTGAGCTGCGCTGTCTGTGTCTATAGATGCAGGCAGCATGGCTCAGGATCAAGCCTGCATGAGTGAAGCTGCTTGTAGGGAGGTGTAGTTTGGCCTCTCTGCAAGGGTGGTGCTGCTGTTCAGTGGCCACTGTGGAGAGGGAGTGGAGGACAAGGGGGGACCCATGTTCCTCTGAGGCCTCTGTAGGTGTCCTTAGGGGGGAATCTGTCTGATTGGATGTTGTTGGCCTGGCTGACTTCTACAGCCACCTTCTTCTCTCTCTCTCTCTATATATATATATAGTGACAGTGCGAGGCTCTGTCACTATAAAAATGGCTGGGAAGATGACACAGAGTTTGCATATCTGCTTAGTGCAGTGATACAGAGCATAGATTTGGAGTGGAGAAAACTGCTTCTGCAGTTTTCTCTGGATCTGGGTATTGCCGGATGGGGCTCTGTAGTTTGGAGATTCCTAAGAGTCTTGGGCGGGATGGAATCTCCAACCCTGTGTCCGGGTGTTGTGGACAACCAGCAGGGTGTGTGCCCAGGTGCACACAGCCCTTATAACGATGGGCTTGTGACAGCAGTTAGTGGTGGAGGTGGAGTAGTAGTGGCTATTGCTGCAAGCCTGAAGTCAGAGCCCTGTCAGGAGAGCTGGAAGAGCCTGGTAGAGAATACAACCCTTGTGAGGGGGATTCCGGGCCTAAAGAATGGGAAAGTCTGGCCAGCTATGAGAGTCTGGGAGACCAAGAGAGGGTCTGGGAGGCTGAGGAAGCTGCAGAGGCCAATGAGTCCAAGGGGCTTGCGGGAATCCATGAGTCTCTGGAGGAAGCAAACTGAGGTACAGAGAAAACTCTGTCAAGAGGCCATGTGGGGCCTGAACAGCAAGGAGCTGTCACCTAGGCTGAGAGAGCCTGAATAATCAGTGGTCTGGGAGACCAAGCCAAGCAGAGGTACTGCTAACCAGAGAACCAATTGGCTTGGCACTTTCACTATGTATTACTTTGAGTGAAGTTGAAACCCCCTGCATGGGAAACCTTGTGTCAAATGAATTTTTCAGTTACTGTTTAATAAAGGTGGGCTACCAGGCACTTAATTTTAGTTCCTGCCTGGCATAAACTCACTTAAAAACGCATCTATAACTGAGCTAAGCATCCCCCATATTAATATATATATGGAATATAAAGAGGTGCTGGCCAGGGATTCTCACTTGAGGCCATTGGCTGGGAGAACCCAGGCCCCTCTGATCTGACTCTGGGAATGGTACCTACCACCCTTAGAAGCAACATCAACAGATTCCTCTGACCTAAAAGAGGAGGTCCCTCCAAATATCTTGATAACCTTATAGACTCTCCTAGTGATTGGAACTCCAGCCCAGGAGAGGAAGTTATGGGTACCCAGGCACCTGAGTCCGTTGAACAATCCGTCATTGATTACCACTCTGATGTTGAACTTAAGTTGGCTGGGAGGACTGCCACCCCATCTGGTGTAATCAAGGGCAGCTGCCGGCTAGGTATTCCGATTATGCTGTGTGATCATATACGTTATTTTTTTTTTGTTTCCTTGCTCTGTTTTCACTATTTGTTTCCAATGTTTATGATGCCAAGGACAGAATCTGTCAAAGGAGAGGGGGAGTGTAGGCAGATGTAGTCTGGCCTCCCTTCAAGGGTGGCATTGTTTGGCAGTTGCCATGCAGAGGGAGGACAAGGGGAAGCCTATGTTCCTCTAAGGCAGTGGTTGTCAACCTTCCTAATGCCGAGACCCTTTAATACAGTTCCCCATGTTGTGGTGACCCCCAACCATAAAATTATTTTTGTTGCTACTTCATAACTGTAATTTTGCAGTGGGAGGAGTAGTGCCACATCATTGGTGTCAGTGGGAGGAGTAGTACCACATCACTGATGTCAGTGGGAGGAATAGTGTGTCCCATCCTTGGTATCAGTGGGAGGAATAGTGTCCCATCATTGGTATCAGTGGGAGGAATAGTGCCACATCGTTGGTGTCAGGGGGAGGAATAGTGCCCCATCATTGGTGTCAGTGTGGGAGGAATAGTGCCCCATCATTGGTGTCAGTGGGGGGGGGAATAGTGCCCCATCATTGATGTCAGTGTGGGGGGTGGAATAGTGCCCCATCATTGGTGTCAGTGGGGGGGAATAGTGCCCCATCATTGGTGTCAGTGGGAGGGGGGGTGCCACATTGTTGGTGTCAGTGGGGGGAGGAATAGTGCCCCATCGTTGGTGTCAGTGGGGGGAGGAATAGTGCCCCATCGTTGGTATCAGTGGGAGGAATAGTGCCCCATCGTTGGTGTCAGTGGGGGGAGGAATAGTGCCCCATCGTTGGTATCAGTGGGAGGAATAGTGCCCCATCGTTGGTGTCAGTGGGGGGAGGAATAGTGCCCCATCATTGATGTCAGTGGGAGGAATAGTGCCCCATCATTGGTATTAGTGACACCAATGATGGGGCACTCTTCCTCTCACTGACACCAATGATACTTACCTTGCTGACCCCTGCTCCAGTCTGGGCTCGCTCCCTCCCTCTCCCATCTACAGCCTGCATACCTGGCTGCAGCAGCACCATCTGCACGGTACAGACACTTACCGGTCAGCTGTCTTCCTTCTCCAGCCGCTCCCTCACTCGATCTTCTTTGATCTTTGCGCTGCCGCTCAGCTCCTCCTCTCCAAGCTCCACCTTCTCACTGGTGATTGGCTGCCTGTGTGCCTCTCCTGAGCTACAGTTTCGGCGGCCAATCACCGGCAAGGAGGTGGAGCTGTTGATTGATCCCGGGGGTGTGGCCAGATGACAGGGTCGGTATGTCATCCCGCCCACACATCGCAGTCCAGGGAAATGTGTGCGTATCTGCATGTGGGCGGACCCGCCTGGAGACGGATAGAGGAGCGGTGTCTCGGTTCCTAAGACCATCGAAAATATGTGTTTTCCGATGGTCTTAGGTGACCCCTGTGAAAGGGGGTCACGACCCACAGGTTGAGAACCGCTGCTCTAAGGCCTCTGTAGGTGTCATTGGGGGGGGGGGGGTGGCTGTCCGATTGGACTGCCCTGGCTGACCTCCACAGCCATTTTTAGTGCAAGCACTGCTAATAAATAGCACTTCAGTTGGTGTGCATTTTGCAAGGAGTCAGGTCAGGGACAGAACCCCCGCTGGTTAGGGACACATTGTCTAGCATAGGGAGAGGTTTCTGTGGAGGAGGGACTGAATAGGGACTGCAACTGTGTCTCGGGCAGCATCCTTTTCTTATCCAGATGTCCCGTTGCCGCTCTGCCTTCCAGCCGCCTCCTCTGTTTGATGCTGTTGAGTGTCAACAGTGTTCACAGAAATCTTCTATAAGGTTCATTGTAAATGCCTCGCAACAATTGGTCTCCATGTGAGTTCTCTTTCCCCAGTGGGCATCGAGTGCTGAGCCCTGCTCACATGCTTCCTATGGGGACACTCGCTGAAGAGGAGCAGTCATGAGCTCCGGCAGAGTACTCCAGAAGGAGGATCGCACTGTTCTGTGCAAAACCATTGCACACAGCAGGTATGACATTTATTATTATATTTTTTTAAAGTTTACAATAATTGTGATTGGTATTGTTGAATCTTGTTTGTTTAGCCTTTTGCTTAGAATAGCCTCTTGCCTATAAAGCATTATGTTAAGCTCAGATAAAAAATTTGTAGCAGAACAGAATCAATGTCACAATTGTCAATGTCAGCATGCTCTTCAAAATCAACATGTTCTCTTTGTTTTGCTTATTTATTCTGCTTGATTAAGCTACCTCTGTGACCAAGCCCTGGTGAGCAGACAAAACATGTCAGGGGGGGTGTGGCTGGAGTAGTGCTGGCTGAGGCCACATTCATCTACATACTAATCTTAACCAGATTGTGAATGTCAATCAAGAACGTCCCATGGCCATAATAGTCTCCATACCGATATATTAAAACACAGCCCCCTCTGCCAATCAGATTTGAGAAAAGAGCTGATTGGTGCTCCGAAATGCGTCACCTTGACAACCCAGGTCTTGGATCCTCCTCATCCAGACGTCAATTTCGGTCATGCGTTCCATGGTGGTTCTGGCATCACTTGCTGTGCGCCTGTCAGGACTTCTTACAGTGGTGGTTACCACAGTCTGGTACCATCTGGACCTGGTCCCACACCACCACCGGTGGACTCGTGGATCTGATTTTGAGGCCTGTTTTATTTTAGAAGCGCATTGTTCATCTTTAAATGTGAGTGCATTACTGATGATTTTTAATAAAGTGTTTCCAATGTTGCACTTAGAGGATCCCCCTTGTGCTTTCTCTTGTTAATACAGAAGGGATCCATTCCAGTCCTTTTGGATGAGCTGCCTACATGACGCATAATCCATTTATGGACTATTTTAATAGTTTGGACTTTATGGACTTATGTAATTGTTATTAATTTGGCTCCTAAGTCCCATGTGGACCAGAGATGCACCATAGAATTTTATTGTTTGATTATATATACTGTTTGGAAAATACCTAGAATTAAATGTAACCAGAAAGGACGTCATATGACGTAATCCCAGACTGCGCCGTCAAAGGCGCACACCCGGCATTCTCCATGATTGCTATGTCTTACGGACACAGCTGATCATGTGATCAGCGGCCTTTTACCATGTGATCAGCTGTGTCCAATGACTCAGCAGATCACAGAGTAGATACAGTTGCCGGTTATCGGCAGCACTTTCCTCATGCTATCACAGAGCAGATCGACACTGATGATCATGAACTGATGATCAGTGCTGCCCACCAATGCTGCCCAGCAGTGCTACCCATCAGTGATGCCCAGCAGTTGTGCCCATCAGTGCCATCCATCAGTGTCCAGCAGTGCCTCCAGTCAGTGCCATCAGTCAGTGCTGCCAGTCAGAGCTGTCTGTGCTGTCATTCAGCGCCGCTGACAGTGTCAGCATCAGTGCCCATCAGTGCTGCCCATCAGTGACCATCATTGCAGCATCATCAGTGACTCCTCATTAATGCCCACCAGTGCCGCCTCATCAGCGAAGCCTATCAGTGCCCATCAGTGCTACCTATCCATGCCACCTCATCAGTGCCCATCAGTGCTGCCTATCACTGCAGCCTAATGAACGCACATCAGTGAAGGAGAAAAATTACCTGTTTGCAAAACGTTATTATAGAAACAAAGAAAACCTTTTTTTCTTCAAATTTTTTGCTCTTTTTTTGTTTATAATGCAAAAAAAAAAAAACCCAATGGTGATTAAATACCATCAAAAGAAAACTATGTTTGTGTGAAAAAAGTGATAAAAATTTCATATGGGTACAATGTTGCATGACCGGGCAATTGTCATTCAAATTGCAAGCATTGAAAGCTGAAAATTAGCCTGGGCAGGAGGGGGGTATAAGTGCCTGGTAGGTAAGTGGTTAAAGAAAACCACTTAAAGGATAAGTGCACCTATTGACCAAAAATAATGATTTGCAGGCAAAAAAATGTGCATTTATTATTTTTGGTTGCAGGAGTCTGTAAAGCATTGTACCAGCGATCAGCAGAGGGGGGGGGCAGCAGTTTGCAGCATTGAGAACATGTTACATGTTCCACCCTAATAATGGGTGGAACATGTAATATGTTCTGAAAGGTGAACGTATCCTTTAAGACAATTTCCTTTACATTTCTTGGCGAGCTAGCAGCCAGGAGAGACAAGCCCACACCTTTGAAACTGACAACTAAGCAGTTGCAAGGGGGATCGCTGACCTACTACTGGCAAAGGTAGGCCATAATTAGTGCTTACTTCTCCTGTCTTCCACCTCTCCCTCTCTTGACGGTTTCCTGGGCATGTCAAAGCTCCCTAGTATCTTGTCTGGCAGTTGGTAAGTGTTATATGAATAATTTATCTGTCAATGTATAGGGAAGTGTACGAGTTGTGCAGAACCTTCTGATAAATGGGACCAATTGTATGATTTAAATGAAATATGTGAGTGCGGCTGATACTTGTTTTGTACATTCTGTCGTCTTTTATGAATATTGTGCTAACAATAGAATTTATACAATTACAGAATCACCTGTCATATGTTAGACAAAGTTGCTTTTAAAGCAATTTCTTTTTAAAGAAAAAGAAAAATATATTTTTTTCAAGGGTATAGTGGTAGAATACATTACTGTAGATTGTGCTTCCACTTGGCAAACTAGGCAGCCACCTAGGATACACTGCCACCTAGGGGCCCCTGGCACTCTCTGTGTAGGACGCCACCATGTGATGAATGATCCTTCAGGTGAGGGAAGGGGGGGCATAGGGGGAGGAAGAAAGGACAGAGAAAGATGCAGGGTGTCTGGGGCCTGTGTAGCTGCAGCTGAGCTGCCACTCCTTCTAGTGTTACTCTCAGACTCCGTCCCTTACTGCAAGCCGGCTGGCGGTTGCTGATCACTGTGGAGTTCCAGCACTTCTCCTCCCATTCATCAGCACAGGCGGAGCTGCGCCTGCGCCACATGCAGCTCTTTACACGCTTTAATGCGGCTCTTGTGTGCCGGGCGCCCGCTCCCCTCCCTCCTCTCGGGCGGCAGGGACTCTGCAGCGTGATCCAAAAAAAAAACAGCCAGGGCAGCGCGCTCAAATGCAATGATTGGCCAGTCTCGCTGCCACTCACATCCTGATAGCCAGTGATTGGCTGTCAGGATGTGTGTAGGCGGGGCAGCGTGACAAACGTGAGAGGAGCTAGGCTCCTCTCACAGTCCGCCCTGAAGACCGGAACGGCGCGGGAACACGGCGAGAGGAACGCGCGGAGCAAAGGTAAGTGAATTGACACAGGGGGGACTTGGCTTACTACTTGCTACTTACTTACTACTACTATATGAGGGATGAATTACTATAGGGGGGATGAATTACTATAGGGGGGATGAATTACTATGGGGGATGAATTACTATAGGGGGGATGAATTACTATATGGGGGATGAATTACTATAGGGGGGATGAATTACTATACGGGGGATGAATTACTATATGGGGGATGAATTACTATGGGGGAGGAATTACTATATGGGGGATGAATTACTAGGGGGGATGAATTACTATATGGGGGATGAATTACTATGGGGGATGAATTACTATATGGGGGATGAATTACTATATGGGGGATGAATTACTATGGGGGATGAATTACTATATGGGGGATGAATTACTATATGGGGGATGAATTGAATTACTATATGGGGGATGAATTACTATATGGGGGGATGAATTACTATATGGGGCATGAATTACTATATGGGGGATGAATTACTATATGGGGGATGAATTACTGAATATGGGGGATGAATTACTATGGGGGATGAATTACTATAAAAACTTATTGAAACTAAAAACAGTGTACCATCCTATGTATTTTCAGTTTTAAAATGTGGCTCTCAAAATAAATTTCAATCGTGGTTTTGGCGAGATTTGGCTTAGTTGAAAAAAAAGGTTGCCCACCACTGGCCTAGTCCAACAGATGGGTGGGGGGGGGGCAAGCTTACCCAGGGTAAATGGCAGAGGAAACAGGATCCTGTGAAGATAGCTCCATTAAGAGACAAATGACCACAGCAAGGTATATAGAACTCTACTATGGATTGGACTTTACTAAACCTCTTTCCAAATGGGTAAAATGGCAACAAAAGGCAGTAAACCCAATTGGACCAGAGAGTTCCTTTTACATCAAGCAATCCGAACAGTTTATCCAAGATAATGGAGCACGATTAGTGATGGGAGTTGGCAGCAGGCACAGACATGGTTAAGAAAAAGTAAGTTTATGGCAGGAAAGAAATGTTTAATCCAACTACTGTAGATTCTATTCTTGGCCTGATGAGAGCATAATTGATGGTGATTATCCTTCTTTACAAGGACTTTCTTTACTAAGGAGGGTTTCACATGAAGAAAACCAGTAAATATTCATCTATTACTTTGGATGGATTGCAAAATCTGGCACAGCATAGAGGTATACAGTTGATATTTTCAGCCACTAGGAATGACATCAAAAGATTAATAGCAATAGATAATTATTATTAGGAGAAGGGTGGTTATTCTAAAGCAACTACTGAGGAATTACAATATTTTTTGAACAGGCAAAGATAAATGTAGGAACAAATTTCAATAGATGAGAAATTATCACAAAGTTATGGCAAAAAGTGAGCAACTGATTGGCAGGGGAAAGTCGGTAGAGATTGCTGCCAAGCAGCAACAGAGACAATGCTGAGGAGACAAACCCATGATGATACATAGCACCACCGCAAGTCAGCAATGAGTTTGAAAATAGAACAAGAACTAATGCTAGTTTTGACTTCACATTGTCATGTGCTTCTCCTACAGGACCGAACCCTCCCAAACCTCCAGTAGCTGTACACAAAATAATTTTACTCCTCCAAATTATTTTCACAGGTCTTCCAGCCCCTCTAACTCAGAGACAAAGGTCAAAGATCCTGGTAAGCAGTGTCCTTTACACCGAAAGCCACATACTCTTCTAAAATGCAGAGCCTTCACAGAGAATTCCATAGAGGACCACATAGCATTCTTGAAGGAGAACAACATCTGCTACAAGTGCTGCTCATCAACATCTCACTTTACCAAGGATTTTAAGGTCAGTGTAAAATGCAGAGAATGTGACAGTTCAGCTCACAACACAGCTTTACACCCAGGATCAGCCCCATGGACTTTACAACTCACTCGCAGCACTAGTGAGCATGGCGGGGAGGAAAGACACCCTGCTACAACTACACCAGAGATCACTTCACAATGCAGAGAGGTCTGCAAAGGAATCATAGGTACAGTGGCAAAATGGTTAAAACTTCCACCTGGCAGTACTAGGGTCGTTGGTTCGAATCCCAGCCACGGCACCACCTGCCTGGAGTTTGCATGTTCTCCCTGTGCCTACGTGGGTTTCCTCCGGGTACTCCGGTTTCCTCCCACACTCCAGAGACATGCTGGTAGGTTAATTGGCTCCTGTCTAAATTGGCCCTTGTATGAGTATGTATGAATGTAAGTTAGGGACCTTAGATTGTACACCCCTTGAGGGTTAGGGATTGATGTGAATGTACAATATATATATGTGGAAAGCGCTGAGTAAATGGATGGCGTTATATAAGTACCTGAAATAAATAAATAGGTGGCGAATCTTGCACCAAAATCTGTCTAGTCAGAGTTTACCCAGCATGCCGGAGGAATGAACCCATTAAGGTTTATGCAATTCTTAATGATAACAAGTAAGAAAGGTAACAAGATAACAAAGTAACAAGTCTTTAGCCAGTTTGTCCTTCTTTGCCATATTTAGCATTAAAGGTTCCAACATTCCCTACTCCTTAAAGCAGAGCTCTAGTGTATTATGAAAAAATTGTAGCTGCTGACTTTTAAAAAATAGCCACTCACCTGTCTCAGGATCATCCCAGCTGGATGTTCACTCCAGCCAGGTTCACTGGCCATCTGTCCCTGGTGCCAACATCTTAAGTGTGGGCACCCCACTGTAACAGCTTGTGGCTTCACAGCCAAGTGTCCATTGGGCATGTGCGAGTAGTGCTGTGCCCTGTGAATGGTCCTGTCATCTTCTGGAACCTGTGACGTGTCCAGGATGACTGTGGGAGGGAGGAGAACTTCCAATTTCAATCACCTAGGCGGTCAGAGCGGAAGTGGGTACCTGTGAAAGTCAGGTACCTGCTCTCCCCCCGCCAAATCTTCATAGGGAGCAGGGGGGACCAGTATATAAAGTGGAACTTCCCATTTTGGGTGAAGCTTGTGCAGGAGTAGGGGAGATGGTGGGGAAGAGAGCATCTAGCTACCTAGTCAAGTCTATTGATGGAAAAACATGCCTGTCCTTACCAACTCTTATTGAATGCAATCAGATCCCTAATCACAGATCTGAAATTCCTTTACCAGATACAGTGGTTCATCACCCACACTTGAAACACATACTGGACTTGATACCAGAACTGGATCCTCTGTGACGGGATCAATGTCTGTCTGTCTGTAACCTGACCTGTCCTCGTTTCTCTCTCCACCAGATGCGGGAAATAAAGCTCTTGACACAGAAGTGTAAAAGCAGTATTTCTGAAAGTTTAATACAAAGCAAGGGATGATATACAGAAACCCAAGAGGC